CTTTTTTTTTTTTTTTTTTTTGCGGGTTATGTTCTTTTAATGAGTTCATTATACCCGGTAAAAGAATTAAAATATTTTTTATTCAATTATTTAATATTTTTACATTTTCTGTTGAATTATTGGTATTATAATTAAATATTAATAAACAATCTCTTTGTTGTGATCGTTGACAATCAACTGCCAACGGAGTTCTCTTTCTATTAACAAAAAGTGTCGGGTTCATGTTCACAGAGTGAAGCTACATTACCAGAAAATGTCTACACGGCCTGAATTGAGTTGTGGTTGGAGCTCATTCTCAAGCCGCCATACCACAAATTAGCATGGAAAGTCGATGACCTCGTAAAACCTTTGACAAGTTATAGAGAAAGTGAAGACGATCATGATTTTGCCAATGGATTCCTGTAAGCTTGTTTCAACATTCCAATTATCTCATCAACATTAATTGGACTCTTCGAATGGACACCATAGTCAATGGAAAGAATGGAGCAACATAAGCAGGATATATTTCATGTGCAATTATGGTTTTTTTCCTATTATTTAAAAATGTCTAAAGTAAAAGCGCACACAATTTTTACAAAATATTTAGATTATGCTCTATAAAAATCGTAAAATATCATATAAAGGTAAAATGATATCCTATACTTGAGAACAGAAAAAATATAATATTTATCTAATCAAGTAGAATCTCGAAGAAGTAATTTTAAAAAAGAGAGAACAGGGTAAAGCTCAAAGTGCCATTTCACTTACGCAAATGTTGAGAATAATTCAAATAATAAAGGATTTGCTTTCTACAAGGTAATTAAGATACTCAAACTAAGTAAATCATCTCCCAACACGATCTTATTAAAGCCTAATAGATAAAACTACACTTCCCCAAGCCAATTCTAAAACGCTGTTGCCTTCTATTAACAAAAGGAGTCGAGAGTTCATGCGCACGAAGTGAACCTATATCATCAGCAAATACTCTCTACACGGCCCGAATTGGGCTGTGGCTAGAGCTGATACCTGAACCGCCAGACCCTGGGTTAGCATGAAAAGCAGATGGCCTCGTAGACCCTTCAACAAGTTTTAGAGAGACAGGAGAATGCCCTGAATCACCAATGGATTCTCCTAAGCTTAGTTTTGACATGCCAACGAACTCATCAACGTTAATTGGACTCTTCGAATGTACAGCCGTTGGCTTGAGCACTTCATGGGTTTCTTCTTTAACAGGCTCCGGATTGTACCCTGGCCAGAATGGGAAGGACAATGGAAAGAATGGAGCAACATAAGCAGGATATACAACAGGGTATGATGAGTATTGTGCACCCTCGGGTTTAGGAAGCATGGCCTCGCCATCATTGGAGTTTGCAGATTCCATTGATTCACATTCTTCGTCCACAGGAAGAGGAGGAAATGCAGTGCTGCTTTGTGTCTCAGCTTGTGGATGGTCTACAGAGAAAAAGTCTCTTGATACCACGTGATTGTCGGCTGACTGTAAAAATATCACAAGAAAGAAGATATAAACCAGTTAATCCTCTAAAACGATGACATAACAACACAATTTCATGTTCATATTCAACGCAAGTTCTCAACAACATATTTTAGTTCAGTCCAAAACATTTCATTCAACACATCAATAAACCTGAATTGATCGATCTTGCAGCCATTGATCAATAGGAATACACCAATCATCTAGCACTCGTCTTGCATATCATGTTGAACCAAAATCATACTAACAAGCTTCACAAAAATAAAAAAATAAAAAAGATGCATCTCTGGCAATATTAGTCATAATTTTTTCCCCTGGCAACATATTTATGCAGTACTTGACATAGTATATTATATGCTTATTATTCTTCCTTTATATGGTCAATACTATCTAATGCTCCCTACCAAACTTGTTATAAATGTATTGGTATCACCCTCTTTTTAATATATATAAAAGTTTAAAAGGAATGCTTACTTCATCTGCCACAATGTCGAAGAGGCTAGAGCGTCTTCTTCTCCTAGATATATTGCTTTGCCTGATGAAATATTTTTGGGCATGGCTGGCTACCTGGGTAGGTGTTCTGGTTATTACATAATTACGAGCAATTCCGCGCCAGTCGCCTTTACCAAGCTTTTTCAAACCAAGCAGAAACATCCTATGCTCTTCTTCAGTCCATGGAACACCTAAAAATCATATAAATGGCCGTTTCAAACACACAAACATATATAATGGACAGCGTGGAAAGAAAGATGCAAGAATAAAGGTTACAAGTGTATTTAATGACAGATGCACCACCAATGTTCAAACGGATGGCCAGTCTAAATCAGGCAATCTATTGAAATTTTGGCACCCTTACAGGTGACAATAACTAACAAACAGAAGTTTCAACCATGTATACTGAATCTGTTCTTTCTTCCTTTTTCTTTTTTTCCTTTTTTCAGGTGGGAGACCTGTAGAAACGTTGCCAATTTTCACTACAATCAACACATGAACTTCTTTTTCTTCTTTAATTCTATCAAGCACCTTCCTGCCAAACATTCTCCTTGATATTTTCCAAATCTTTAGATCCACAATAAGTTCACAAAGGCCAAAAGGCCCAAAACCATGACAAGTTATTGAGATGAACTCAACTTATGTATTTATCAACTCACAAAAAACCAAGAAAAGAATTCTAGGGTATTAAATTCATTTGTTTCTGGACAGTCTCTCTATGCATTTTGGCCTTGAAAGCAATAATTCCTCTTTTCATAGTTCTCTGGCATTTTAAAAATGCAAAATTAATAAAGATATAACCATTATATCAGCAACATGATCTTCCCTACATTTCTCAGGTCTATAAGAGTTTATAAAAAACCCAAATCTTCTATTATTTCTAAGATTTCTTCCCATCTGCAGGCTGCAATTAACCCAAGAGAAGGTCAAATCAACAGGAAATTACAAAAATAAAATCTCCCACTTTCTTGCATTAATTCTTCACCAAAATGCCAACAGAAACAATCACTTTCACACATACCAATAAACTTTTAACAAGTCAATTATAAACAGAATACACAAACTTTGAGCAGTCATATACACGCATCATTTCTGGCTGCAGCAATTTCTATATATGATCCTACGCACAGAGAGAGCGAAGCAAAAAAAACCACAAATCTGGCACTTATCCTTTTCTTTCTAGCTGATAAATTTACTCGAAAAATTCCCACCGAAAAGAAAATTCCTTAGATCCAAACTCCCAACAATAACAATCAGATATATTACAAATCACATCGAAATATACACATGCATACACCAAAAAAACATCTCTATATAAAAACGCAATCATACAAAAAAATTAATGAAATTCGAAACCTTTCTTCCTCTCGCGGCTGGAAGACGACCCCGCAACAAAGTCCTCTGAGGCATATCCATCGGCGACGCCAGAGCCAGATGAGGGGTGGTCGGGGGTGTCGGCTGGGGAATCATGAGTGACGCCGTTTAAAGGCGTCCCACTTCCACTCCCACCGCCACCACCCATATAATGGGTTAAGTTACCCATACTTGCACTCTTCCGGATCGACCCATCTGTCAATCGGACCCCAAAAAGCTTCACTCCTCGATTCGGACACGTTCGAGAATTGTGCCCGTTGTGACTGCAATGCGAACACCTTCTTGTCATACTTGCAAAAAAAAAAAACCCACAAATTGAATCTAAAAAAAAAACGCAATTAACAGCAGAAAATTGGATTCGATTCAAAATGGATCGGATCTTTATGGGGTGTATTTCACGAACAGAAATATAGGATATGTTCTTGACGTTTCGGTTCGTTTGTGGTTAAAACGAAGCCGCTGCTGTGTGGACACAGATTTTATAGATGTAAGAGAGAAAGAGAGTTGAAGAGAGAGGAAAATGGGCTGAAATTGTTAATGTTCAAAATGATACATGAGCCAGTTGTGTAGATAAAAAGATCATTGGAATGAGATAACTTCATGTTTGGCTCAACATAAAATTTTCGTAAATTTACTTATAATTAAATAAATACATTTTTACAAAAAAACTATTAGTCAAAATTAATATTAAATATATTTCTTTTATCCTCAGAGAAATAGTTATTTTTATTTAAATTTACTGTGATAAATAAAAAATTAAAGCAGTAAGGATAATGTTACGCGTAAATTACGAAGAAATTATTCATTGGTCCCGAAAGTGCATGCCATAAAGGTCTATTTTTCATTACAAAGTCTAGTCCAACATCTAGTCATTTACCTTAAAAACAAAAAAAAACCATAAAAATGATATAAGACATTCATTACAATTACTTAAGATACGAAATCAAATGAATTATTTGACTCACCTAATATGTATTAACGAGAGTACAGCATCTTACTTAAATCTATAAATAGCGTGTCCTAAAAGTTCTAAAGCTGAGAAAAACTTAATATAAATTTTCGTTATGAGAATGACCCACAAAACGATACTCAACCCATGTTCCGTGATTTTTTAGGAATCAGAGTCAGAGTATGAATAAACATCGAGCAAGTACTTTTTTCATCAGAACAAATATCATGAAAAATAATAGAAGTGTCAATGATTCATTGTTGATTTGTGTTATTCTAACATACGAACACATTCCCGACAACATTTTTAGTTCGAGTTCTTGATCATGCATATGTTCCAACAACTTTTACAAGTAAATTACCTTCAAATTATGTTTTTAATTATGCAAATCAAGGTTGAAATTCGTTTAAAATTTACTTATAATTAAATATAAAAAATTAAGAAAATCATAAGAAAGATCCTAACGTGCGGCACGAGATGTGTTGCAACTTAAAACTTATGTGGTCGGTGAGATTTTTCAGAGAATAATACGTGGGAGCATCTTAACGGTAAAAGGTATATCCTACGGTATATGATTTCTTGTACCGTACAAATGTGATATATTACCTTATCTCCACAGGATACCACCCCTTTATCTCTTTTGGATTATGTTTTTTATATTCGCGCAGTCTTATCTATGGTCAAACCGCCAAGATGAGGTAATTAACAACTTGCTTAATTTTGTCTTCAATTAGAGGATAAATATCTGATTGTACGATATTGATGGTTAATAGGTAATTAACAGTTATTAAAGATCATATGAGGTCGGTTGACTATTTAAAAATTTGTTCGATTATAAATTTAAAAAGCATAAATTCTAAAATCGTTCAGTGGTCTAAGTGTGAACAGTGGCTCATATATGTTGGCGAGCCTAATTAGGTTCTTTTACCCACGTTAATGCGACAGTCTGTTTCGTTTAGCATTGTCATGATTTGTGATCTTCCATCCATGAGTTTTCTATGGAGTTCAGCGTTCGTCTAATATAAACGAATATTCTTGTCTTCTAGAGCTCGTGGGATCCGTCGAGGGGGGCAGACTAGAGCTGAGCAGGAGGGACATTTAGATACACCAAGTTCATTCTATTCAATCGATGGGGGCAAACTATAAAGGAGTGGGTTATTAGGTACACTTCAGTAATTTCAGTTTAATTACTTTCTTTCTTGCCTTTCGTCTAAGTAGCGAGAAATTATATAATGGTTGAAGGATATTTATATTATGTTGGATGTTTTGTTCGTTCTCTATCTTCGCGTAGTAGCATATTGAAAGGGAAGAAAAAAAAAATTGATGTCATAATGTGCCGAGATTTATCCAATCTCCACTACTCGTAAAGAATCTTCTTTGTTGTGGCATATAAATCAACCATTGACGTCTATTACTTATCGGGCAAAGACTACTTTGTGGAAAACAAAATTTCGATCATATGTTTATCAAGTTAGATCCACAATATTTACAAATATTTAATCATTGTAAAAAATTAATAATTCATTATCAAATTGATTTCTTCGTTCTAATATTCTATTTGAGAATTATCCATATTTATTAAATGTGACAATATTGTGAATACGGAAAGAGGGAATCAATCACAACATCAAATGCCGATGTGGCACGAGCATGATGTGGCAGCAGACGGACCCCACAATACGAAATTTTCTCGATCAACGGCCAATATTGGTCACATTCGATTATATGTGAGTAGAAATATCTAAAATGGCAGCACACTAATCAGTAATTAAAATAAATTAATTGGAGATTGATTGACGGCTATGAATTAATGGGACCCCACAGTATCTTTTGGAGACCACCATGTGATCCTCAAGTCCTACCTAAATTATAATAATAATATTTCCAACATTAAAAAGTAGGCTTTATACGTGGCTAAATCTCGTTCGCATGTCTCCTTATCTTATTTAAGATAATACTATAATAATTAGCTTAGTCGATCATTTGCGACCGTATAAGATTGAAAAAAATTGTAGGCTTGATTTTTTGCATTAACCCATTTACCCTTGATTGGGTCCCATTTTTTCAAACAAAAATGCTTAATGTACAGTCAAAATTGATGCAATTTTGACAGCTCTCTCCCATGGATGAGGCCCACGATTATTTTAATCATGAACCCCATCAAATGTATGTGAGAGGGTTGTCAAGATTAATGTCAAACTTGATGTAACTCTAACATTTTTCTTTTTCAAATACATTATTCTAAAACTCATGTTCAATTCTACGTTCTTCCGTAAAGTAATATTATACGTAAATTTAAAATTTTTTATTATCTTTTAACTACACGTTCTCCAAAATACATTTTCACCCAAAATCATATTAAAATTGATCCCAAACAAGGCCTGAATAATGTAAGCGAAGTAACAAGAGACGATAGTTTATCCAATTCTTGATTGTGCTACTAATATTATTGCAAAATCGTATAAATTAGGGGGTGTTTGGTAGAATTAGATTTTTAGTAAATTTTGATAGAAGTTTTTGAAATGTGTGGTTGAAAAGTTGTGAGATCCACGAAAAATGTTAATACTGATTGTTTGACTTTTGACTTAGATTAAAATTTGATTTTAATTTATACCAAACAAGCTCTTCACGATCACGATCAAAATCAAGATCAATTGAACTTTACCTGATTAATATGCTTAGGGTCATACGGTGCTTAAAATTTGTAAATTCGTATCACGATGAATTCAACTTTACAACATATCAAAATTTTCTACATTGAACAAAAGATCGAAATCGACAGGTTGCAAATCATTGGAAGTTCAATTCTAGAACTAAATACACATAATTTAGGGGATATTTTCCCATTCATTAACAAAAACGTAAAAGCAAAAAGAGATTGACCAATTAAAGCTATGCTTTGGTAGGTTAGTGCTCTCTACCAAATAAGAGGAAGCAAGAGCAGCCACGACAAGGAATTTATTGGGTCCCACTTGTATATCATCCCCTCATCCTACTTGGGACTCACAATCACCATGGATATTTCTTTTTTTACTCTACAATTTAACCTTATTATTTATTCTTTTTAAATTTTTTAGAAAGGAGTCGTTACTCGTTCGAGCGGGCCACTGTTTGGTGGGCATTTTTTTAAACAAACATTGTTTTGAATAGTGAATTTTTGAAAAATGTATGATTATAGAGTATAAAAAAAAATTGATTTTATGTTTAGAATATTTTATTGCTTGAATATGTAGTTGAAATTGCAATATGTAGGAAAAAAATTGACACAAAACAATTTTACTCAAATAAGTAAAGGGGAATTTTAAAAAATTGTCAATTGAAAAGTGTCTAATTTTGATAACTCTTGCAAAAATGGTCAAATTTGGTACAAAATTATCTATTATATCCTCAATGAAAAATAAAGCTTTTTTTTTTTAATTTGTCACGAATATCGAGAAGAACAAGTTGCTTCTATGAAAAACTTCATTAATGCTAGCTAATACCTAATTGATTCATTTGCTTTTATTATCTATTAGATATTGACCAAAAATTTTGGGAAAAAATGAAGTAGAAAAGTTATTAACACTAAAAAATAATTATATACTTCCAATTCATAATAAAATCATATAATTTTATTTCGAAAAATTTAATGTTATCCAAATCTGTAGTTGATTAAGCTTACAACAATTCTCGATAAAAGGTCATTTTTCTTTGAAATCTTGTTTTTGTCGATAAATTGTGTTTAATCGTTGTTATTCTTGACATTTCAATACAATTTTTAATTATATAAATAATTTTGCCTTCATTGTGGAATTTAAACTTGTTAATAAGGGCATTTTGGTCTGTACAATAGTAAAATGGACATTGAAATTTTTTTTGACATTTTTGCAAATGACTACGAAAAAAGTGGACATTTTTTGCAATTTTCGTTAGGTAAATAACTTCTTTTAACAAAACAAAACGTATTAAACTGTACATAAAAAAAGCAAGAATTTACCGACAAGATAAGGCAACAGAAAAGTTCTTCCGACAAAGGAACGGCAGAGTGAATTTCCTCGAGGCGTATGCTTTGCCCATGTAGGTAAACAGAATCTTCTTCTGCATTTCGAAGAAATTTAAATTGGGTCCTTTCAAAGTCAATGCTTAGTTGAGTATATGCAATTTACAAGTCAAGGTATTAGTCAATTTAGACGATCGAGTAAGACCTAATCCACACCTCTGGATGATCGAAGAATCGAAAGATG